CCATTTTTAAAACTAGAAATACAAAGGATAATCTCTTAGAAATCATTTTGAAGTAATATTTTTGGTATAGATTTAAAATAATGCGAAGGTTTTGATTAAAATCATGATGAGGGTTTTGTATGCATATGAAAATGCAAATGTAGGATTTTAATAGTTGACTAGCTCGCAAATTGCTCCCAACTTATAGAGGTCATGGCTACTAGTTCTCTAAAAAGTGGTAAATCCACATTGTTGATTTCCTTATCAAGGACTTCTTCTAAAAGGTTTGGTTCATAAAGAGAATCAATAATAGAATTGAGTTCTTCTTCCTTTTGTGCTTCTAAAAAATCTTCAATGGAATCAATTGCATAATCTTCAATGGTTTGGGGAGATCTATCTAAGGCTCTAGCAGTTAAATAATCTTCCGTTTGATCGGTATCTAACCCAACTATGTCCATGATATCTTTCGGGATATCTTCTTCTAGGACAGTGCATTTGGTTGTAATCAATTGCGTCCTCTTGGACATAATCCACAGTTTGATCATAAAAACGTCGCATCCGTAACATATCAATTTGGGAAGATCCTATGAGTTTTGCGAAGGGATATGCGAGGAAACGATGCTTTTATTAATTAAAGCATTCAATTCAAAGCTATAAATGGAACATGCTTTGATAATGTTAAGATTCCTAGTTCTAGGTTTTTCTAGAAACGAAAAAAAAGTTTTGTATTTCTATTTTTGAATGATATGCAATCATGCGTCACGGAATATGGAGTAATCAAATTAATGAAACATGTTCCTAAGATCACCATATGATGCATATTTTCAATAAATAGAAAATGATTTTTTATCCTAGTAATTCCATTGACCACGGAGGCTTTTGTCTTACCATGTATGGTTATTTTGGAATTGTTTGCTACGTAAAGACATTCATTAGTTTGTAAATGGAATCATTTCGGAACAATGCTTTGTTTAATACAATTTAAAGCAACACGAATATTAAACAAGGCAATCGTATCAATTTTGAAATCATTTTGAAACATAAGAGTAATTTTAATTAAATACTTCCTAGAAGTAACTTCATGAAGTACAAACGGAAAATCTTCCGGAACGTGTTCTAGATTTTCAAGGTTTGGCAACTCTTGGTTTTCTTCAAGGTTTTCGAGTCGAGTCGACTCTTCTTCCGCTCGTTTTTCAAGCGAGTTTTTAAGAGACTAGAGTCTCTAGTTTGTCTTTCCTTAAGCTATTTGAGCTCAATTTTGATGACCTTAAGCTCGGACTGAAGGTCCTGAATTATGGTCAAGGATTTTTTGGTTTTCTTCTTCCTATCTAGGATAGTAGTAAGGTCATACGTGCTAGTACTAGTAGAAGGCAAGATAGAAGGTTTTGGTTTTTCTTTAGGTTTGTCCTCTACGGACTTCGAGAGTCCGTCCAAGTATTCCTTTTGTAATAGGGGATCCTCAATCTTCTTAATAATATCTAAGATGAGGTCCTGGTCTTTGGTTAAGACATTGACTTGTCTCGGGTTTTTATCGGGTTCACTCGTCGAATTAGGTTTTGAACTAGAAGACGTAACAAGTTCATCTACTCGAAAGGTCTCTTCACTATCGAATAATCCGAAGGGTAAGAGGTTTCAACTAACAAGGTAGAGATTTTGTTGTAAATTTCTTCTTCTAGGTGAAGTTCTTATAGTCCGGTATTCATCCTACAATCTTTTGAAATATGGCCTTTTTGACCACATTTGTAACAAGTAACGTCCCTTAGGTCGGTGTTGGGCTTAGGCCTAAACTGGGTTTTCCTAAAGGGTTTTTTGGGGGTTTTATTGGAAGGCTTCTTATAGAAAGGTTCTATATCTTTATGTTGTCCCTTATGGTAAGGCTTTCTATAAGGCTTTTTATAGGTTTTCCTATGGGCCTTAGCATCACAATTGTTTTTACAACTTCGATGATTTTGAAGTGAAAATATCGAATTACTTACAAAAACTATCTAATTCCCGTTGGTCTTCTTCATTTCCCACTTACGGTGTCTTTGGAGTTTGAGGTCTTGACATATCTTTAGTCCTTCCTTTTGGGTAAGACTAATTAATTCTCCATATGTCAATTGGTCATACAGGATTTGATCACCAAAAGCATCCTTAATACGAGTCCTAACTTTTTCTCCTAAAAGGGTTGGTAAACCCGCAAGGAATTTCTCCTTCCGGAAAGATTGGTTAAAGTCTTCTCTAAGCATGACTGCGGTCGGGAATGTGGTTTTGTAATATTGGAAATCACCGAGTTTTTTGCACCTAAGGTTACTAAGAAGCTCGGCGTTTTTATCTTTGAGGTGAGAAGGATCTCCTATGAAATGAAGGGAAATAGTCAAGATGAGTGTTGACACTCGCATGTTGAATTGGTTCACCTAAGTCATCTAAAATAGGAAGGCCTTCTTGGTCCGTTTGAATGGATTTTAATATTTCCATATGTTGTTGGACGGTGAGATGATAATCCCACCATCCTTTGAGTTGACTAGAAAAACCAACAATGAGCAATTCGAGCAATTGCACGGTCGGGGATTCCGAGTTTGGGTTTTGTAGGCGTTAGCGACCATGGTCATTTGTTGGAGTAAACTAAGGATATTATACTCGACAATCCATCAATGGTCCATTCATAAATGGAAGAGGCATTAAACCTAGGTTTTGCTAACTTATTTGGCATTTCTCCTATATCGGGTGTAGTGATCATAGATATTGGGTTTTTCTAATGAAACTTATTAATTTTAGGGACGGATTCTGTTTTTGAGTTTTGATCTAAAACATCCACACTATTTGATTGGGGAGTCTCGGGAGTTATTTGATTAGAGGTACTATCTAAAGATATTCCTATCTTACTAAGTTGATCTCTAACGGCTCGAGCAAACTCGGGTTTGTTGGTTTGGATTTGCTACTAGCTAGTTCTAGAAACTCGAAAGGGTTTGAACATTGGGTTTTGAGCTTTTGCTCGGTGGTTTTTGTTTTTGCTAAGGAAGCTGTTGGTTTTGGAGTAGGAGGAACAACTCGTCTACTCGGATATAGGATCCTATCCTAACAAGTTGTTTTCCTATGGTTTGAAGGTTCGTGTTTGTAAAATTATTCTGTTGAACAATATTCTTGATGTTGACGGAGTCATCATCTTTGGGGATTTTTTAGGGACTTGCTTCTATTTTGGTTTCTCCATGGGAGAAAGTCGGTTTCCTAGGTGGAGGATGGTTAAACCGAACCATCCGTCCTTCCACTTCCTAAACAAGGGTTTTGTTTCTCACGAGTAACGGGGTTCAAATTCTTAGCAAAGGGATAATGAATCAAATTATCACTAGAATACAATTCAAACCAATCAAAAAATAACATATGAATCTTATGAACAAGTCACAAACTCATAAAATTTATTTTGAATATCTTTTCTAGTATCCAAAAAGTTTTTAAAGAACCAAATTCGTTTTGCGGAATTATGTTTTGCATAGAAATCATCATGCAAATATTGTTTGTCTACTGTAAAACTATCATCGGACAAGGTGTTACATTCATTTGCAATATTATTAGTGATAGCGAAGCGAGTAGGAGATAAAGGAGGAGAATCCTCTTGATTTGAATATCTAGGTTTTGGAATATTTGTACAATAATCAACATTTTGTAAAACGAGGGTTAGGAACATTCGAGGTTGAAAACCTATGTGGTTGTCTTAGAGGTGGTAGACTGCGGTCTAAGTTTGTATCTCTCCTAACATTTGGTAAGTTTATGACTAAAGGAATCTCGGAAAATCTTCCTAGGTCATAAGTCATAGAACTAGAGGCAACATCAAAAAATCTACTACTGGTAAACTTTTTATCAAATGAGAGTCTAACACTCCCATCCATATGTTAAGCGATGGATCCGATTTGGGTGTTTGGTTTTGGAATCTCCGTTAGTGGTAGAGATCTAGGTTTGGTTATTCCTTCTAAGATCCATTCATCGGGTAAGACTATGTCTTTCTATCTAATAGGTCTAGGAATAACTGTATTGGACTTGGTTAAGTCCGTTTGCAGGAGAAGGGTTTCTCCTTTAGTCGATCGACATTTGTGTTTTGAGGAAAAAGCGAGTTCATGGCCTTATAATGGATTTTTGTGATCAATGCAACTGGGATTGATGCTTCCATCATATTATAATTATGGGTTTTGATTTGGAGTACTAAATACTCTAAAATGTTTTTGTCATTCGAGAAACTGTGAAATTTGGGCAATAATCAAAAGAAATAGGTCCATTACATAAACTGGACTCAATTGAACTTAGCAGAGAGTCCCGAAAATTGGTAAACTTATTTTCTCTAAGAACTTCTAGGATTGAAGTGTTCAATCCTTCTTTTGTAAATGATTTAATTCCTACTTGGACTAAATCTATATGAATGTATTTGAAATTTTTGTCTTTGTGTTTTTGAAGAGTTTTTGAAGAGAGGAGATGAATTGTTTTAAAGGGCTTCAAAATCCGAATATCCCTCTCCTCGGTTTTGATTGCAAATTCTGTTTTGAAAAGACTATACTTGGAGGTTTTGTAAATCTCATCTTTGTGAATCTAGGGTATTGCCCAATCATCAATTTATTTTTCAAAATCTTCAATCATATATTCTACACTATTGATTATCTTCTTAGAATCGAAGCGGAAGATGCGAGAAAATGAGGTAGATCTACATAATATAGAATCCATACCTAGACTATGGTTTGGAGCTTTGGGTACACGAGGTTATGAAGGTGATTCCTCCGATTTATCGCCCTATCTATCGGGACTTACTATAGCCACACCAACTCGTTGGTCTACCCTAGCTACGTAACAAGATCTAGATATAAAAACTATAAACCATAAACATACAACCCCACCAACAACTTAGGCTTTGATTTTCCCCCTCTCCAACTAAGAAATAGATCACTAAAGGCATATAATATTGAAAAAAGCCTTTATATGGGAGGGTGATTTATAAGGCCCATCCCTCAAAATTTAAAATCTGCCTCTATTTTATCACCTTCATATAAGGGTATGAACTATTCCGTTGATTGGATCAACTCGATCTTATATCTCTCCCTCTCTCGACCAAGAGGTAATACTCTAATTAAAAGGAACATCTAATTATCTTTTCAAGTGGATACTAAACAAGTTTTGATCTAGATGGTGACTAATATCAGTTTAGGTATAGAAGTCCTTTTGACTTTGCTTGGGAAAAATTAGGAGAGATGGAGAGATAGGGAGAGACATAGGGCTTAAATAATGGGTCTATATTTCAAATGGATACTATTTCAATTTTTCCTAATAAAATTATACCTAATATTATTCATATACTAATCACGGGGTTGATTATCAAGGATTAACATTTCCTTTGATTGGTATATTTGATTAATTGCTTAGGCCATTAATGTATGTCATTCCCTTATAGACATTAGGCAATACGATATGGTACTATCACCGAAGCAAATTATAATAATACTTATAACAATGTGTGTGTGTAATATAATTTATATTAACAAAATTATAAAGTTTTACATTATCAAAAGAAGGAGTCTAATACCAATTGAAGGATCATAATAGCACAATCTATCTTAAAAATAGATTGAATTGGTATTATGCATTATTCCTAAATCGATCATTCACATAAATTTGTAGCAACCTTAACTTAGCCATATAAATGAGAATCTAAATTAATGCAATAATTGGCACTATAAATTATTACTATTGGAATTTAATATAAAAGGCAAATATCTCCTTGAGAAAATTCAATAGATAGGATATTTAGGTTAATGATTCCTGATATTGAGAGAAATAATCTATTGGTATATAATTATTAAAAAGAGGAATCATGAAAGATAAATTTCCTTGTTAGTATTTTACAGATATTTTGATAAATAGATTAATACTAGAAGCATGCTTTAGGAATCATTAATCAAGATAAGTATTATATGAGTATACCCTATAATCTCTCCCCTCTCTCTCTTGCTATAGGAGTATTCCTTGTGAAGCTTAAAAGAGAGGGGTTCGAGATACCCTCCAATTATTATCTAAATAAGATTGGTCATGTGTAGGAAACTATATTTTACCAATTCATTATTATCATACAATTTTTAATAGTTTATCTATTTATAGTATACCAATGTACTCATAAAAGAGGTACATATATCTATAGTTCTATTATCATAACGAGGAATATTATAAAAAATGTTTTAATATTAATAACACTAAAAAGTATGGATTTTAAATTTAATTAGAGGTATTAATTTTTAATATAATAGGAGTACCTAATGGAGCGTATTAGGAGGTGATATTAGCACAATTAATATTGAAACATATATGATTTCATATAAAATAAAAGGGAATTTTCTACTGATAGAGAGGTGTCTTAGATATCACAACATCTCTCTCAAGTACATTAAATGTTGTGAGTAATCTATAATTTGGAATTCATGGAATGATTTGATCGTGTATTATATAGCAATTCCAAATAATATCTACTCTATAAGGAATGAGATTCTCTACCATTATATATTCACATAAATCATGGGTAGTACTACTCTTATTATGGTATATATCACTTTTGGGATATAGAGGTCCTATCATCCCGCAAATGTATCAAGTCCTCTCCATAGGTTTTGAGACAACATAATTTCAGGCTCTTACACTCTAAAAAGGAGTGATTATACCTAATCCTTGGAAATTATCCTTGTACTACTATCCATTTTAAGGATGGTGATCATACGCTCCACAAAAATTATAATAGAGCTTTTTTATATCTTGATCCCCTTTTAACACCCTACTATATGATATTACTATATTATTATCCAAATTACAGAAATTGGTTGACTTCCAAGGATTTGTTAACCTAATATATTATCATGGTCCCTATCATAGCTTGCAGTGGGATATTATCTTTGAGGGGATCATAGTGTATAGTAATTCCTACATAATTAAGATGAATATATCTAGTTACAAGGGATAAAGACATTAACCAATAGAGGATTGACTATAGGTTGTCACTAAGCTCAGTAATGCCCTCAATAAAGTTAGTCCCTAGCTAACCACCATCCCACCAAATAAGGTCATATATTTAATAATTGTCCAGTGTTCTTGCAAACCATTATATCAGCCTAATAAATAGGGGACTGTTTATAATGATTACTACCAAATCTCACATGATTTGGGTATAAACAAGATTGATTCCACTATCTCTATGTATTACACAAAGTGATTTGAGAGACCCCTTTTGATGGTTGGATATTATTTCGAGGAGAGTAGATTGTTCATCTAAATGACCTTCTATTAGAACCGTTGTCTCTCTAACATTGCCCTTCTTTGGAAAGAGAGAGAGCCTATCTTTACTGATCAAATTTTAGAAAAATATTTTATTAAATATATTGACCAAATAAAAGTGGACAAGGATTATTGGAGATTATGATTTAGGCACTAGAACTTGCTTTAAATTAATAGAGTATATAGAGTTAGAGCCTTTGTGGTATATCCACCAAGTGGGCTCTCTCTCTTTCCATTTTAATAAGCAATGGAATTTGATCATGTATAATATAGGAACAATCTCTCTATATAAGTATTAATCATAGAATATCATAATAGGAGAGAGAGAGAGGAAAATTGATAATAATAGAACCGGTTAAGAGTTAATTAGGAGAGGTTGTTATACATTATCCAGTGCCCATTATCATTCACCTTTGGATGAACTGTGGTGGTAGAGTGATTTGGTCTTCATGTTTACACACTAATACCTATTATCACAATAATTTGAGTTTTGCCTTTCCCTCCACATCACCAACGTAGTAAATTGGTGGCCTACACTAATATATGTACTCTATTCGAGACATTGGATAAAAGCCTAGATACCTAGTGTCATATTACCAAGAAAATAATCTATCATATTATTAATCTATTTTAATATTATTAGAGAGGCATCAATATATGATAATATGGTAAAATAATGATTTCAATTATACCATATTATCATATATTAGGTAGAAAGCTATGTTTGTGTCGATAGCCTTGATAATGGCCCAATTTAAAGGATAACGGATAGAGGTAGGGTAATTATCGAGGCTCTAACTTTTAGATGATATTTTATCTGAACTTTAATCACGTCCTTACATAATCTTGCAATAATAATCCTAGAAAGGATACCTTATAAAGATTATTACTAGAGGCTAATCAAGTGAGGGATAGTATAGAAGGGAGTAAACACCTTAATTTAATAAGTATTAGTGGATAGTAAGCCATCTATACAGGTTATAAAGATAACACCTAAAAGCTGAAGAGGAACCCCTTAATTATATGAGATGACACATTTCATATGAATGGTTCTATATGAATCAATTTAATTATGACTTCAATAAAAATGTTGAGATATTAATCTATGGAGAACATTAAGTAGGGGAGTCTACTTATTACCAATATAATAATAGGTCAAGAGAGGGAATCCATAACTCGAGAGGGAATCCATAACTCTTAATAAGGAGAGTTTGTATATCGATATTAACCCCTCTAAGCTAAGAAGGGAGGGATTAATGACATCTTTCTATCGTTATTCTATCTCTATCTCTATCCTAACGAACAACAATCGGATTGAACCATATCTCTTCGAGTATCTCTCTCTCATCATCATACTGATTTAAATGGGGAACCATCATAATGCCTTGACACATTCATTATGCATAAATTAATCACTCTTCCTCTGCTTTCCCTTACCACTCTCCCCTATTGCCATTATCATAACCATGAGGGAGTGAAACACGATGAATAAACCCCTTAGCTCAAATGGGACCTCGTATATGGAACGTTGTTTAAATCAAATCAAGGATGAATACCTTTGCAAGGACTAATAGCTCTCCCTTAGTGTAGATTACATGCCCATGAGTATTAATTGAGGCTCCCTAATTATTTGAATGACCATTGTAAGATCCTCATTATATCTAATATTTGGAATATCCATACCTTATTTCTCTCTTAGGACTTTCAGCCCATGGATCTTTTGCATTTTCATGGCATCCACTTTCTAGTGATATAGTTCCTTCCTCTCTCCTCCTCTCCCTCTAAATAATATTAATTAGTAGTAATATCAAACTTGGTCATATAAGCAAGCGTAGGAGAATTCAATCCTCACATATCCTACTAGCAATATTCTGCTCGTGTGATAATAAGATCATTAACCCGTTTGGTATCTATCTCCATATTATCTATCCAGGGCAATAAATTGTGTCTAATTAATTGTTTCACCATAAACATATTGGCAAGCACTAGCCTACATCCCATGTGGTCTTATTCACCATTGCATGAGTGATAATCATACCCATTACTTTCTCTCTATTAATGTTACTCCTTAATCATTTGATGTAAATATCACCATCACTATATTATGGACCTATATTGATATTCCACTTTTGAATGATTTATATTAGACTATAGGCTTAAATCTTTCCTCTCTTATTTGCTCAACCACAAACATAGTTTGTAAACAATGGAGGGTAGATGGGTGAATGAGCTAATCTCGATACCTATATAGATAGTATGGGGATCAATAAATGTACATGTATCTATTCTCATAATTAAATATAAAATTTTACCCGATATAGATGTCTTCACATAAATATCATAATTACAAAGTATCTATTGTTAGATTATATTGAGGCTATATCTCTAGTTCCTAATGAAAATATCTGAAATAATATGGGGCCATATCTTGAGCTATTAATATGATGACTCCTTAACTAGTTATAACACTAATAAGTTTAGAAAGGGATAGACTAACTAGAGATTTTACCTATATTATAGATTTACTTAATTCGTATCGACACGCCATGCATTCTTCATTAGAAAATTAGTTTTGAGTATATTGATATACTTTGATGATAAGGATTGATATTATTCGTATCCATCCGTCTTTCCTTACATATTGTCTATATAACTGACCATACGCCCAAATTAGTTCAAATCTTAATAATCCATTATGATGACCTCTCTTTCATATTGTGAGTTACCATATCTCCTCCTTGAATGATCTCCAGCTAATATTCAATATTAGTTTACACATTAGATCACCTACTCCTAAATTATAAGAGGGGACTTGATCCTCATAATTTAGGAGCAGGGGATCTAGTGTATAAACTAATATTACGATTTCTAACACCATGTTATTAATTGTTGAGGATTATTCCCTATTTTTAGAATATGGATAATCAATAAGGAAAGAGGTAATTGTCTAGTGTCCTTGAACAAGGGATGCTATCCTATTTATTATCGATACGTCATTTCATAAGTGTTAGCTTTGTCATCCAATAATATTAATTTTGCACCAAACTTATTTGCTCTTCCATATGGAGCTATATGAGTCATAATACAAATTCGATCATAAAAACAATCATTGGCCCTATTGAATGACCTAGGTCTATATTGGTCTAGATCATCACATAATTAATTAGTATGATATATATCTCTTTCGAGATATAGAGGTCCTATCATCCTACAAATGTATCGAGTCCTCTCCATAGGTTATGAGACAACATAATCTAGTCTTATTGGTACAAAATTCAAAATAGACCAGGCATTTTGCTTGGAGTCACTTAATGTTATCATAATAGGGTTATCTCTATCTTGATGCCCCTATCTCCAATTTATAGTTAGAGATGTTACCTTAAATAGCTTAAATTAATAGAGACAAGTCAATTTGATGGGAAATTATAATATTGGTTGGAATACCAAATCATAGTCGAGAAAATTAAAGAGGGAAAAGATTCTCCTTGGATAATGGATTACTCATTAGATAATGGACAATGGATAAGCTTAGAATTTGGCTAGCTGGTTAAGATTGTGCCAAATGCACTTCTAGGATTATGATGTTACCTAGAATCCTATAATGTAAAAGGGATTTAGGCATTCATGTCTAGAGGATGAATAATATTTGGTTATAATTAGGAGAAAAATATGGTTACTCTAGTAATCACGCAAATATGAACTAACTCAAATAACTCTATTGAATTAAATAAAGCTATTTACTTAAATGATAGGGAGAATAATTTAGTATAGCATGGGCTATGATATTCATGTATATGCATGTCGATATGACCTAGATAAGTGTTTACCTTCAAGAATATAGTATATAACCATAATGATATATTAATATTCTTGTAAATATGGTCCACTCATGCTTTCATCCACTCTCCATGGGATATTAAAAGTAATGGGCAAGTAAATGATCACATTCCCCACTTTAGAGAGAGGACTACTCCAATACCTATCTCGTTCTCTCTATCCACCATAATGAATTGATGGTCAAGCATCTCCATATGTTAAATTAGCTTAATACGTACATTTCTCCTTGTAACATATTTGTCCAAACGACTCCGTAAGGATTAGCCCTCTATCCTTTCATTTATTAGCTAGAATTTGATGTTAGTGAGTATCAACCCAATATTATATGTGAAAAGTAACTTTAGTATTTTGTAGCAAGCATCAACATCCTAGTGGCCTATTATATCCCTTTCACATAAATACATAGAATACTACTTTATGAGGACCAAACATAAAATTACCCATCTTTAGGATTAGATTGTCTTAGACACCAATATTCACATCGCCCCTATTTTAATCCCATTGTCTAATGCCTCTTGATAATACCACTAATGAGAATTCCTTATAAGTATTACTATGATAACGATAAGTGGTCTCTATAGGTTCTTCTTATAAAACTAGTATAATAAGAGGGTGGTTACTCTAACTATTTTGGTGTTTCAATTTAGGTAAAACCGATCCTAATTATACAAGATTATCTACCCCTTAGGGTCAAACCTAGAGCATAAATAATTTAGTTCTTTAATGTGGAAAAGATGGAGAGTAGTGGCCACCTTGATAAATAGTTATTGTTAGTATCCTAAAATAGAGACACTATTGGGGAATTCATATAGAAACCATATAGTTTATTGTACAAGGATAATATTATGATAAGTTGGGTAATTATCAATAATATATAGATAAGGCTCATTAAACTATTTAATAGAGGACCAAATGCATTAACAATGTTTAAATCATGGTATTACCCAACTTGTACATCTTTTCCATAGTTATTCCATTTTGTTTGAGGGATTTAATATATGTGACTATTATCTTTTTACCTTCCGAATTAAATATGGTGTAATTACGTTATATTCAATTGCTTAAAGAATGATATTTAAGCATAAGGATAATATAGTCAATGTGTTAATATAGAACACTCTATAACTATTATCTCAAATACATAATAAGCCCATACATTACTTATAAATAGGCCAATAATTATCTTGGCTAACATGGATGGGGAATATAAACCTAGAGTATATAATGGCCATATATATTAAGATTACCTCTATATTTCAACAATATAGCCTTATCGAGGCTGACCACAATTATAGGTACTAATCTCCCTTGATAATAAATAGTGGGACATCAAATTTAAGCCATTACGGGACTAGACAAACATAGGGACCACTAATATTATATGTTAAATTCAACCAATATTGTTTAAATATTTCCTATGTTAACCTAGTCTATGCCTCCCTATGACTTCATATCGTGAGTTTGTCCCCATAATATCATTTGGTCCTCTATTAACATATAATATAATAGTCCCTTTACAACGGTATTATAGCCCTTTGGCCTTTAAGATTGGGAAATCTATATAATACTTTACTATAGTCCCTTTAGTATGGTTTTTAAGCTCAAAATTGAAAGGTTGATAATCCCTTTCTTGAGAGAGACCTAATATCATGTTAGCCATAATCAATTAGAATATCCTTCTCTTGATTTACACTCATTTAGGGTTGGCTATCATATTGTTTTAACTCTCTCTACCAATATATGGACTACCATTTATCGATTTCTATTGTTAGAAAGGTGTCTTAGATATCACAACATCTCTCTCAAGTACATTAAATGTTATGAGTAAAATATAAGCCATTATATTTTAGGCTTATATTAACTATTTAGATGAAAGCATGGTTAGCCATCTTTTTCATAATAGGGACCAATAATCTTGATTTGGTAGGGACTTTCCCTCTAAAATTATAAATAGGTAGTGAATATGAAAGACTTACCATCGAATTTTATTGTGTCCCTTTATTTTAACTTCACTCATCATATTAGTACATTCTAATCTCTCTTAACCGATAGTGAACCAACACTTTAAATAAACTATTCATATCTATTGTCTCTCTCTCCATATTCATTAGATATATGTCCATAAATCACAAGTTTATATCCTTTTTAGGAATATAATTCCTTTCATGGAAAATACTCTCCCTAATCCCCTCTATACGAACTAGAGTTAGTGGACCTAACTCTATTCCTTTTTATAAACCTTTATACCATTCCATGAATCCTAGGAACATATTTTCATCTAGGAATGGCCTCGATTTGATTAAATAGAAAACTAGAGAGAGGAAAGTAAATTGTCAATATTTATAAACACCATAGTGATATATCAGTGTATTAAATTGATAGGAGTACCGTGAAAAATAATCCTTGATACTAATATATCATAGGCAAAGAATTATTTTAGATGGTCGAATGCAGATCTAAATCCTAGTGGAATTGGTATGATCGGGCTCAATTTAAAATATTGGATTGGTCCAATCGACAAGGTAATGATTATAATAATGCCTATAAGCATGTTAATAGAAGATGCTATAACTCGTATATATATTACTAAGGTGAATCTCTCTAAAGGACTTGGTTATTGATAAATAATATATAATAGCCTATAAAGAGAGTGACCTCTATACATGGGAGAGTTAGATATAGGGTTTCCAAAATTTCTCTCTTAGTTACATGTAGATTCACGTGTGATTATATCAATAGCAAGAAACGAGACACTTGGTTTAGACTTCTCATATATTTCCAGTCAATATATTAAGTTAAACAAGGTGGAAAAGGTTTTGGAAGATAGAGAGGGAGAGGGATCAAGAATATTAATATGCCCTATTATCCCTCGGGAGTAATTGTATGGATGACTAATCGAACATGTTTTATCTAGGCTCGACCTTATTCTCTCTAATGCACATAAATGATATGGTACCCAATAGTATGATATTCAAGAATAATTATATTAAACAACATACCAGGATTCTCGAAAAGATATTTAGGGAAATAAATAATGTAATTAGAGAGAAAATAGAGATAAATAATAGACAAGTCGAGCAAAATATTAGTCATATTATATTATCAATGGTTAGATAATAATCATACTATCGATTCCCAAACAAAAAAATAAAAAATAAATTGGCAATATGCACATATCAATGTGTTTAACAATTATATATGATAAATTAGCCCATATGATAGTCTCCCTCATTATTAGTTGGCCCAAAATTAGATCGAATAATTACCCATATCAATTTTGTCATCTACTTCATCTCAAGAACTTATACTCTATTAATTATAGCTTAGCAAAGTTAGATAATAACCATACTATCGATTCCTAAACCAAAAAAAAAATAAAAAATTAGCAATATGCACATATCGATGTGTTTAATAATTATATATGATAAATTAACCCATACGATAGTCTCCCTCATTATTAGTTGGCCCGAAATTTGATCGAATAATTACCCATATCAATTTTGTCATCTACTTCATCTCAAGAACTTATAATCTGTTAAAAACCCGTGTAAGGGATATTCTAGGTGGAGAAATATTCTTATTTATTAAGTTATGCATGAGTGAGAAAGCTATATAGTAAATTAGGATCGAAGATGGGCTATACAAACTGCATAAGTAAATGATGACTTTTGTTCTTTGTGTTAGGATAATTATAGCTCCAATACTAGTTACTCTCCCTCATGAGTGACTTAATAAACCTTCGTATAATGTTTGGGCCTAGGATTTAAAGATAAGTAATCATATTTATTCAATATTAAAGTATAACCTTAAGTCTGTTCTCACTTGTGCCTATTATTAAGCAAGAATAGATATTTGAAGATAGGCAATTTGATAGTTATTGGACAAAGGGCATTTACAATAGGCACGATTAGGTGTC